AATTTAAAGCTTTCTGTAGATATATTTATCATGTCTGTGAGGCATCTATTCGCTGAGTTTTGGTTAATTTTTGTGATGCGCTCCTGTTCAAGACCGAGACGGCAGAAAGCGCATCCTGTTTGTTTTCTTTATTTTATAAAAGCACAACGTTTTGTTGATATTGTGAGTGCACACAAATAAAAGTAGACCCTTTACAGTTCCGAATGATGTATTACTATTACCTTTATGAGCACAAATTACACCGTAGCCTATTTTAAGTTGTTTCCACTGAAAAAATGCAAGATTATAGCGCTGGCGCCTCCATGTCCTGCAAAGCGCGCTTCAGCTTCCACACTCCGCACAAACTAATGGATATAGTGCACATTTATCTAGGTTTAACGTTTAAACATTGTTATATGCTTGAACTGTTTTATATCTATAGATTTTATTTTAGGCAAGTCGTGATGATTTGAGAAGGCAAAAAAACAACAACTTATATTTAACGAACAGAAAATGCTCCAAACGTTTTTCTAAAATAACTTAATAAAAAAATGAAATGAAATAAAATTGAAACAAAACTGAACTATTTTAATAGCTGAAACAGTAGTATAAGCTGTTTTGGGAGAAGGGGGGGAAAGACGGGCTCAGGTCGGTAATTCTAATAAGCTGTCGGACAAGGGCCGGGCTAGGGCCCAAATTTGAGGCCCGTGCAGGGCTCTACAGCTTACTACTTTTCAAACTAATCACATAAAAGATATTAAGGCTGAAGCTTTGGATCCAAACGCAGGAAGGCCGCAGAGCTCACTCTAAACTTCAAGACTCAATTTTTATTATTTTTAAATACTTTTCAATTACTAAGTTACTTTAAAATAATTTTAAGTAGCCTACTCTTTTTAAATACTATTTATAAATATAACAGCTCAAACAAAAAGCACAAGAAAAAATGCATAAAAAATATAGTTGGCAAACAGTGATCAATGGCTCATGAGTCTCTTCAAAAAAAATTAAGAGACAAATTATATTGTCTACTCGTTTTAATGCAATTATGTCTGGCTACTGACAAATATGTACTCAATGATTAATATATATATATAAATTAAGGTACTATTTTTTGATCTGTAAGCATGTTGGAGATCACATTAGTTTTCTTTGCAAACTAATTCTATTTGAACTCATTGCTGTAATATCCTGTGGTTAGTCGCCCTCTAGAGGACAAGTATTGGAGCCTTCTGTCACTCACATTGATATACAGTAAATGGCTGATCATTTAGAAACAGCTGAAACCCCCAGCTTCAGAAATTCACTGACATTTTGTATATTTTTATATATTTATCGTGTATACCAAGTTTTGTGAAGTTTGTACATTGTTTTCAAGAAATAGGCCAAATAGTCATTATAAGCCACCACACCAAATATATCAGCCCATATCTGCTAAACAATTAAATTAAACAAGTCTTTTGATAACTTTTTGTAAGCAGCATCTCAAAATGGTGTTTTGTGTAAACCAGACAAACGGCCTAGGATGAGTTTGAAAATGTTTCTTAAAGTGGCGTAAAACGTTTTGTACAAAGATTCTCACAAATTGTAGCACAGCCTCATGTATCTTGTACACACAGAACATATTTCATAACATTATCAGCCGTAGCAAATTGGCTAATAACTTTGATAAAACCAATGTTCTTTTGGAAACTTTGAGTCATGAGAGTCTTGCATGATGCATGAATTGGACCAAAAGGGGAAAAGTGTTTTTTGTTTTTTTTTAGAAAATCCAAAATGCTGGAAAATTGGTAAACAAAATTGAATGTACATATTCTTGTAGGGCTTGAAACAATGATTTAGAGAAAACATTTGATCCTAGTCCTTTAGAGAAAAATAGTAATTGGCAACACACAGTATACAAGTACAACAGTGTTTGAAGCTTGGGCCCCTAATTATGAAGCATGGGTTTTTGTTTGAATGCAACTGTCACAGAAAATACAGAACATCTTGGATGACGCTTATTAAAAGCTGAGCCCCAGCAAAAGACATTTAATCAAAATGTGATCGAAATGGCCATGCTACCAGAAATCATTAATGCTATTTGCATTAAGAGTATGTTCGGTTCAAATTGTTTTATTACTCTAATTATTTTTTGTGCTTACAAACACTTTTGGACCGAAGAGAGAGAGCGAGAAAAAAAATGCACAAGACTCACACGCACACATTACAAAATATAAAATTACATTTTGAGCAACACATTACATTAATTATTGTATTAAAAAGCCATTTAAGAAGGATGCTTTTAAAGATATGAAACCTTGCTAGTACATTTTATAAAAAAAATTGCAAAAAAGAAACATTTTTGGTCATAATTAATTAAAAACCCAACAAAAATAATGTCCAGTCAAAAGGAACGTGAGAAAAGGGTCTAGCATTATTTGTTTGCACATGCCACTTCTGATATTGTATTCATTGAATTAAAAGTGAAGAGTCGGTGTATGAATGAGAGCGGCTGTGTGTGTGTGTGAGTGTGTGTGGGTGTGTGTGTGAGTGTGTGTGGGTGTGTGTGAGTGTGTGTGTGAGTGTGTGTGGGTGTGTGTGTGTGTGTGAGTGAGTGTGAGGGGCTCCTGTAATGAGCAGAGGCGCTATTCACAGCGCTGTCCCGTTACCTCATTGACATTCAGTCCCAGTGAGAGACACAGACAGAGAGTAAGAAGACATTGTCCGGGACAGAGACAGCAGTTGTACTGATGTAGTTGCTACATAGCGACAGCAAATGGACATTTTGGGCGGAATGAAGATTAAAGTTTGATGTGAGCATGAACGAGCGTGATATCTGAGGAACACTGAGTGTGTTCTGACCTGGATTCAGTGAAGAGTTTGGGAGAGACAGGGCGAGGGGTGAGGGGTGGACGAGGATTTACTGGGTCAAACAGACCGACGACCCCCACCACTGAAGAAGAAGGGAAAGTCAGAGGAGGACTAAGAAGAAAAAACACCAGACAAAGCACAGAGGAAACCATGAACACTGAAAAGGTAGGAAAATTCCTCCATATAACACAGAACACAGGAGTTCAATCACTTAAAAATACAATGAAACTAGCAATCTGCTAAATGACTCTCAGTGCAACAAGTGCCATTTGAAAGAAATATGCAAATTTGATTATTAACCCACTGATGGACGTGATTGGCATTGTAATTCTCAGACTGATAAAGTTGCATTGCTTGCTAAACTTTGAATGGTTTTTCAGCCCGATGAATTGATTGGCTGATTATGAACTATTGCATTGAGAAGCAGCAATATTTAATTTATGTTTATATCATCTCATCACATGTTTTCCTTTCACTGTTACATTAGCAGAATCTAATCGCCACCTTTAGCTCATATTTCATCTCTGTATCATTGCAATAACATCACCTTAATCACCAGCTCTAACAGGGAACAGGTGTCAACTATGAGAAAAAAAGGAGAAACACCCATTTTTGCTACATCTCAATTTATGTTATATATTTATTTATTTATTTATGTGGCAATACAGAGGAAAAATATGCACACAATTATATATTCACTGAAGATTAAAGTTTCATGTAGTGAGTAGAAATTACTCTGTGAATACAGCAGCATGTTGTGGATGTATTGGTAGCAAGTCTCGGTACTAGCTCTGCCGCAGCAGCAGCAGCAGCGTAGCAGATCTATTCCGCCAAGACCAAATACATTAACATTGTCATGCACATTACCATGCCAATCCCTCCGAGAGTTGTCATGACAGAACTGTTTTTTAATGTTACTAGTTTCGGAAGGTTCAGAGAACATTCAAAAGTAACATTTCCATAATGTTTGCAAAATGGAATGTTCCTGTAACATTTGCGATATCAAGACGAAAAAAAGTTTTTTTATATTTAAAAAGCTGGATGTTTTGGGCGTTCAGCGAACATTCAGAAATAATGTTTTTATAACTTAATGGGAACGTTAGGAAAGCGTTCTTAGAGCAAATTATCAACACAACTCATGAAAGAGAACTGCATTTGTCAAGCTATTTCATTAAGTCTGTAATGAAACTTTAAGCATAAATAAATATGAATATTGTGGGTGAATCGCTGAATGTTGGTAATGGTTGGTGAACTATTAGTCAATCATCTGCTGTCAGTGTGAATCACAGAAAAACAAGGGAAGAGAAGATGCTCAATGACGTATCATATGATGAGAATGTTATTTTTTGGGGGGTCTCACTCAATAACTTCATTTAGGTCAAATTCTTCCTCCTAATCTTCCTCTAATAACACACATGAGAGCGCTGACCTGCTGTAAACACTGGCCTTCAGAGCTGAAGCTTTATGTGATGGGTAATCCCGACTGGAATCTTTTATTCGCGATCTTTCCAGAAGGGAAGCCGTGTGAGCGCAGTGTTTGTTCAGCGGCTTGACTCTTGCGCTTGGGAAGAACTGCTCTCCTCCAGGGCACTGCATGTCAGACTCAAGTTCATGAACTTAAGACATGCAATAACAGTGCATTAGGACGGCTTTGGCAAGACTCAGACTATGAAATCTCTCGAGGCTCACTAACAGAGGTGGTCCTTATTATGTACAGTGTACATTTAAAAAATATTCACAAGGTAAAAACTCCATGGTTTGGACTGAAGTAAAATCCTGATATTTTAGACCATTCTTTTGTGACACTGGCTTCCTGGTTTTGAATGCCAATATCCTTGTGCTCATCCATACAAAAATGGTTTGTTAAGACAGTTGTGGAGGATCTCGATGAGTCCAGACCTTTGAGATAAACTGGGCCGAAGGCTACGAGTCTGGCCTAATCATACAATCACACAATGCCTGACCTCTCTAATGCTCTCATGCTTGAATAGAAGCAAATCCCTTCAGCTGTGTTATAACATCTAGAGGAAAGCATTCCTGAGGCCAGTGGGGCTGTTATCACCGCTTCAGTTAGTGTCAGTGTTTAAGAATAAGAGCAGGTGAACACATCGCTGTAAACTCTGATGTGGGCCAAACATCTAAACATTCTACAATTTCATAAAGGGATAGTTCACCCAAAAAAATTAGAATTCTGTCATTAGTTGTCAAATCAACCCGCATGAGCTTCTTTCTTCTGTTGAGCACCAAAAAGCTATTTTGGAGAATGTTGGAAACCAAACAGTTGATGGTAGCCATTGACTTCCATAGTATGGAGAAAAAAAACACTATGGAAGTCAATGGCTGCCGTGAACTGGTTGGTTGCCAGCACTCTTCTTTAAGGCAGATCTCTAGCTAATGCAGACACACTAGTTGGTCGGATCCATCCTCTACGTCTCATGCTCTTGCTCTCTTTCTCTCCATGTAGCCGCGTGTGCTGTGACTTCCTGATGTCTAGAAGTGAGGTGAACTGATCTGGAGAGAGAAGCACAATGTCACGATCAGACGAGGTCAACAAAATGACAGAAAATGTCTACAAGGTATGTGTTCAATGAAAGGGAACAATAAATAAATCACCCAAGATGATAAAAGGAGACGTCTTTTAAAATTTAGTTTCAAACATATGCACCAAGATCTTAGAAATGTAATCCTTTCTTCATATTTGTTTTATACACATGTTTGTGCAAAAAAAAATGCATGTATCAACAAAAATAATTGACATAAGTAATACCTCTTTATGAATCCCCTATATGATATAATTTCCTGTTTTATGTGTTTTCTGCCACATAACAACTTTAATCACATAAGCACTTTAGCTTTTTAACAGCATTATAGTTGGTCATTGTATGTTTGTCTATATGTAGAGAGAGAATAATTTTACATAATTGTTACAAATATATATTTTTAAATGCTTGACTACTTTTTTATTATTATTAAAACTAAAATAAAAATATGCTAAAGCACTTAATTCTTTTTTAAAACTTTTTAAACACCACCATCAATTTTTTTTATTATTTTAAAAGCCACAAAAAATATAGATTATTTGTAAAGGTATATTTCAGTCATTGTGAATTGTATTTTTAACGGTATTTAATAATAATAGTAAAACAAATTAGCATCATTGACAGGTTCACAGTCCATTTTCCATTATTCCACCTCATGTCTTCCATGCATCTGTTTCAGTATTTTAATTACTGGTTAAAATGTATACAGTTATGTCCTAATTAAATGTGTTGCGGATTCTGTGTTCAGGGCATTCTGGAGCAGTTCAACCCCAGTCTGAAGAATTTTGTCACCATGGGCAAACACTATGAAAAGGCTCTGACAGGTCAGACATCATTATGTAATTTTTTGTGATGGGCATAAGTCCACTGGAAATGAGTGTGAACTTGGATGCATGTTCATTAGCACTTCACCTGCCAAACAATCATGGATTCTGTAGCACACAGACTGCTGTAACATGCCCATGCTCGCTCTCTCTCTCTGTCTCTGTCTCTTTTTCTGTCTCTCCAGGCGTCACAGTAGCAGCAAAGGGTTATTTTGATGCTCTGGTCAAACTAGGAGAGCTGGCCAGTGACAGCCAGGGCTCGAAAGAACTGGGTAAGACACTTTAAACCCAAACACAGTGAAAATACCAGAAAGATTTGAGTAAATAAATGTCCTCAAAGGGAAATAATCTCTCAAACTAATTGTATGGTCTGGTTCACAACCTAAGTATTGCACCAAAGTTAAGTCATTGCAAGTACAGTATACTTACAGCACATTTGCAATTAAAGTACTGATGTTGTCATGTAATTCCACTTTATTATTTCAAATAAATTGGCATAAAACAAGAGATTTGTGCAGATGTGTTTTTAGGACAGAAACAAGCTGTTATTAGACAAGACTGTTGTTTTGATAAAAGTGAAAATATTGCAACATGTTAATTATGTTATAATATTATAGGGATGCATGATGTTGGATTTTTGCCGATATTCGATATGTCAATATTTTTCAACTCATTTTGGCCGATACCGATACCGATATATTTCCTTTTTTTCTCTCCTGTGCAGAAATTATAAGCAAAATATTTTTAATTTTGGTTAGTTTTTAACAAGAACTTATTTGTTAGGTTTTTTGACAGTACATTAAAGCTTTGAAAATAGCTATAAATAAACTATATATTAATCACTGCATTTTTCCCCCCAGAAAGATGCAGTGTTAACCCTAACATTTTATTTTAAGATTTAACATTTGTAGATGGTCTAAAGCAAAAGAGTTGTAAAAACTCTGAAAATCTTTTAGAGCTTATGATGTGTTTAAAAAATAAAAAATAATAAATCAGTATATATAAAATTATTTAATTTAAAATATTTATTTGTACTTCTATTTACAAACCATTGCAGCATGAAAAACTGATCATTTTATCATAAAAATTTATTAAAGGGGTCATATGATGCTATTTTAAAGATCATTATTTTGTGTATTTGGTGTAACAGAATATGTTGACATGCTTTAATGTTCAAAAAACACATTATTTTTCAAATACTGTACATTATTGTAGGTCCTCTATGCCCCGCCTCTCTCAAACGCTTCGTTTTCTACAAAGCCCCTCCTTCCGACAAGCGCAGTCTGCTCTGATTGGCCAGCTGACCCAGTGCATTGTGATTGGCCGAACACCACAAGCACGTGTCAGAAATGTAACGCCCCTTACCATAATCGCCAGCTTCAAGCTTTCAAAGTAAATATCAAGACAGTTAATAATGTCGTTAGTTTTACCATCAGTTCAAGCCCAGAAAGGGCAACAGAGTCGCGTGACAGACTCAGTGATGATGCAGTACACAAGCCGCGGTTAAGACAGCTGACGTGCTATGCTTTCTGACAGACAGTTCACTCTTCTGTGATGTGACCCTGTTCCCCTCACACACACACACACACACACACACACACACACTCT